CCCACCTTTTTTTTTTTTTAAAAAAAAAAGAGCATTGGTCTGACTTCATTAAAAAGACCCCGGATAATTATTAAGCCGCATTCTTAATAATTATCCAGGGTCTTTTTTAACGAAGTCAAGAGAAGATGCAAACCTTCAAATACAGATTATTGTAGAATAAGCCTATCAGGAACTATTAGAACTGAAAAGGGGGGAGAGAGAGAGAGAGAGAGTTTAAAATTATAAAAAACTTTATTAATATATTATATACAGAAACATATTTAATTAAAATTCAGTCTTTAATGTACCTTCACCCCTTTTTTTGGCAGTCGATCCATCTTGAGATTCCCTTGCGGAACGGCAGATAATCCTTATAAGAAAAATTGCAATCGTTTTGCAGTAAAATTGATGCACAATACACAAATGTGGTAAAAATCATTCCTGGTTAAAAAAGTAGGACATTTATCGAGCTTGCAGTAGTTATTGCAGATGTTGTATATATCCTTCTGGGTTGGATGAATTGGTATTCTGGATAACAGATTCCACCTTCTAAGCATTGCAAGAACGCGTGATAGCTGGACCTCAATTAGCTATACAATTCAAGGCAGTTAAACAATTCTAACTTCGGCTGACTGCATTTTACATATAATTTCCTGAAACCGTGACTTGATACTGGAATCTTTGACTTTTCATCTCCTATAGCATCTGGGCGGAAACCAGTCGCATCGGATGTCATCTGGTTGGGCGATAGGGTAAGAAACGGAGGGTGGAGCGTAGACATACGATGCGGCCGGTGCCAAAGTGTTGGCGTATGGGTATCTATTGTAGAGAAAGCTTCGCTTGTCTCTGGCTCGCTCCTGGCCACTAGAAATGCCGATAATGGCGGCTAAAATGAACAGGAGGCACGCCTGGAAATGGAAAACAAATTAGGGAAATAATAATAAATTTTGGTGGTAGAAACCAGAAAACAAGTTACACAAATTAAGAATTTTTTATCTATTATCATACTCAGTCTAAAAATCGTATCTGAATATATTCAATTTAGCAGTTTTGTCGAGGTTATTCTCGTGTTTCTTTTTTCCTACGGTAAGATTCGATAAAATCATATTTCCTCGTGCATTGATTCTATATTTAAGGAAAATAACGAAAAGAGGATCATCAAACTGAATAACAGATCTGGCGCAATAAAAAGAGGACAGGAAATTGAGCCGAAACGTACGATAGACTAGGTCTGTTACAGCCGTGCAAAAAAATGTAATAAAAAATCATGACGATAACATTCAAAAACCGTGAAGTCGACTCCTTATCGCGCATTATATGCGTAGTGTGGAACACGCTGTTTCAAATTTCCCGCGTCTGAGGCAGGTTTCCAGTCACGGTGTCTAAACTAACAACCGCAACACGCGGAAACTTCCGCAAACTTGCAGTTGACAAATCTGACAATCCTCTGAATAATACGTGTCAGCATAACCTGCAGATCCACGATCTAGAGAGGTGGTATTTGTGTCACTATCAAAGATCACGTTTTGCTTTTACATAAAATAAATGGACAACAACGACGAATCAGCAACTACCAGAAAGAAACGAGACCGCTGGAAGTTACTGTTGGCTTGTGTCATGTGACTAGGAAACTGCCCTCAGACACGGGAAATTAGAAAAAAGAACCTGTTCAAAACTACGCAAATTGCTCACTAAGGGGTGAAAATCAGACTTTTGTAATGTACGTTTTGTGCCATTTTATCTCTGACAAGCCTATTCACACGGCTGCATCTCTCGCGTGCAAGAGACTCATTTTACCGCATAGCATCCAGTCACATTTTCTTTGGATTTACAAAACTGCGAACGTTTATGTTTGGATGTTTGGATTTTCGCATTTTTGAGCAATTGGGAAGGAATATTGGATCAAAATCACGATGCGTATGCAAGTTAAATCTAGCTATTTAAAATTGTATTTGTATTTTTTAGAGCTAATCCGTGTATGATGTGACATCAAGAAAATTTGTTGTGAATTTGTACCGAGCTCTCAAAATTCTTCAAATCATAAACAAATTTAATGTTCTGCATTGGACTTTCTTTTACAGATGCTCGGAAGATCTCAGAATCCGTTTCTTTTGGTATATAGTAATTGACTGGCTGTCTAGACATTATGGGGGTTTGAAAAAAATGTCTGATCAGCTTTATTAGCCTGCCACATAATACATTGAGTAAAGCATAGAACAGTATCTCTTCTATATAGTCGTTACGTCGAGTGTCACCATAATCATAAGCACCCAATGTAGGAGTTGCTTTTGGAAGAGTAATTCATATTATGCGTGATGTTAATAAACCAAAAACTCTCCTGATAACTCATTACTAATTTAAAATACTATCGAGGAAACATCATGTTTCATTTCAAATGTTTCACATCGCAATGCATGCCACTTCCGATATAAGTAACATATCATTTAATTTAGAAAGAGATAAATGTCTAAAGCTCTGACTTAGTTAACAAATCTGCCTAGTCAAAGCGAGATCGAAACAACATTCTTAAATGTAGTTTTTGAAGCATGTCAAAGTTGAAACATTTGTTAAAGTCGTCCGTTTACGTGTATTAGAGCAATATCGAAATTGGTCTTTCCACCTTGAATGAGAGGGTCTCGGACAGTGCAAGAAGTAATGGTACTTACGAGGAGCTTCATGATAATGTTTTTTTTAAAAAGTTATGTCACTCAGGTTTGCATCCATAGGAACACAGCAACAAATGAGAACTTAATTTCAGAGCATCTCGATACAAACTTTGATAGCCTCCGGATTAATTTGAAAATTAAGATAACGCACGAGATCTAACACTAATGAGATGTCAGTGATGAACCTCTCTTCAATTTGGAAAATTTCCATAATGAAAAACGTTTAATCTAAAAGGGCGACGATGCGAAATCAGAATTATTACATATTTTTTACTAAAATAAAACATTTTTTTTTTTTGCATTATCGACCAACTGGGGGAAATGTTTTTTGTTTTATCATTTATTACAATTACAATTACATTAACAATTGTTTACGAAGAAATAAGCCACCTTTCTCAAGTCTATTAACCAAAATATCCTGAGTATAATATATTTTTAAAATTATTATGATCCCTGCATTTCCAAAGTTTCCTCGTTATTAGACCTTTACGAATGATTCTCACAATATTTGTGCAAGAAACCGAAGCAAAATTAAATTAAATTATTATGCAGCACCTATTAAATGCGGTCAAAACTACCATTTGCCACCAGCTTTTACTAGTATATACCAATATGATAAAAAAGTCATGTAAAAAGATTAGTCTCTGCCATAAAGTCAATCGAATCAAATTTAAAACGAGTCAATAACGATTTGCGTCGCATATACCGCCACTGAAGCGATGGCGATTCTTGCTGAAGAGAAACGATATATTTTTTGTCTTTTTAAACTCATGTAAAATAAATGCTGTTTTTCGAGACCGACAGTTTTATACAGAACCAGTTTTCTACCCTCGAGTTGAATGGGGGAGGAGTGTGAAGAGCGTAATCAACTTGCAAGACAACTCCACGCTAATAATGCTGAAACTTTTAACGGATCGTTACGAGAACTTTGGCCACCAACCCTATAGCAGCGCACTGCGGTTCGTAGATTCCAAAGTGTAGCGCACGCCGCAAGCTTCGATTCGCCGCAGCGCAATTGGAGGATGATTCGTCTTTAATGAGTTTCAAAATTCAACTACTCTCACGTCATTTGCAGATTTACACACTCTGAAGACGATCTTCCTTCACAGTGGTTGTAATTTTTAAATGATTAAATTTCATAACGATTTTGAACATATTTACGTTGTTTGTAAAACAGCAGTGTCGGCTAAAATGAAAAAAAAAACCGTGTACCACAGATTGCGACATCATCGCATATCTTTTTTTTTTAAAAAATAGACAAAGAGGAAATATTTGTCCTCAAAGTTTTCAGTGACACATATTTAAAATTATTTTAAAACCGTGTTTATATATCTGTATTTATTATTCAAATATGAGCCTTTAAGCAAGTATTCCACCTGAAGCTTTTTTCCTCTTGACCTGCAAATACCAATACATTAGCTAGCCCTGATCCTTGAGGGCTTCTTGAAACAATCCAGTTGGAATAAAAATCCTTGCTTGTGGAACACTTAACTTTTCTTCCATTTTGCAATGTTCGTAAGTGTTTTGGTATATCTTTTGCCAAAAATGTACCAGGAATTCATTTTAACAAAAAATTTTTCTAGAAGTTGGAAAGACTAGAAGACCCAAAAGTTCCTTTCAGCCTTCCGCGATATTGGGAACACGAAAATGCGATAAAATTTACCAAAACTCGCTAAGACGATAGATTAAATTCACAGCACGCGCTAAGGTATCTGTCCACAAATGCTCGAAAGTAATCACAAACGTTGTAATGATGGGCCTCTAGACAAGGTATGAATGAAAGCACTGCGCAAAATTTGTTCTCTTCGTAATTCCACGAGGAAATCGAATTATACAACGGGGGTCGGGGGTCGGGGGTCTTAAATTCAGATTCTAAGTAAGATGTAAGTGTTTAAAATCAACATTGGTAAAACGGGAATAAGAAAATAACGCCGTTTGTATAAACTCACTTCCGTTTTGTTCGATTCGGAGTCCAAAATATATGATGATACACTGGGAAAAAAAACACATTGGATCTAGAGTCCAGACTCTTGAAAACATTGCCAAGAAAAAATACTCTTGATTCAATCGGATTTTTGCTTGAATCAAAACGAAATCCGCTTAAATTAGAAGGCTTGGTTCTTAATTTAAACTAGATTTTGATTGAATCAAGAGTACTTTTTCTTGTCAATGTTTTTAAGAGTCTGGACTCTAGATACAATGTGTTTTTTTTTTTTTTCCAGTGTATCTTGTTCAGGAGCATATTTCCGAACTTCTCGTCGTTGTTTCATTTGTGTACATTTTTCTTTGGTTAAGACCCTCTCTAGTGCCTCATTGCAACGCCACTCTAACATACAGAAAATAAAAATCAAATAATTATCAGATAATTTCCTCTTCATTTTATTCATTCCACGTTCACATAAGAAATTCATTATGGGCTCAAATTTTTGACAAAGACTAACAAACACGCAATGATGTTTTGACTCCAACTACTCAACGCCATGCGGACATCCATCATCTCCTAAGTGAAGGTGGACCTGCGTAAATTGCTCAGTAGAAATGGGTGAGCTCGGAGTAAGCACCGGGTGAGGCTTGGACGATGCTGGAGCGGCCGACGACGCCGACAGCGGCGGGGGCGGCGGCAACCACGGCGGCCGGAGCAGGGGAGAGGGCGGTGGCGGCGTAGGCGTGAGGGTAGGCGGCTGGGGCGTAGGCAACTGCGGCTGCCGGGTAGTCGGCGAAGAAGACGGCCCGCTTGTCACGGGGCAGAGGAGAGGCGGAGACGGCAACGAAGGCCAATACGAGGGCGACCTGGGTAATAGAGCACAAATTTTGAGGTTAGTTCATAGTCCCACTCGATTAGGAAGAGAACATAGTGTACATAGAGTCGTAATGTAAATGGGAGAGCTGGCGCCAAGTTCTGCTCGACGAGTTCCGAGCCCGGTGTGCGCCGAGTTCGGGTCACTTTTTCGATACATGTTCGATCCAAAATGACGGTGTGGAATACGTGGTGATTCCAATCTTCTTTGTTTACATCGGATGGTCGGGTACCCGTGTATCGCAAACAATCGATTATGTATAAAAAAAAAGTGACCCGGCGTCACACAGAATTCTCGGAATTCGGGACCTGGAAAATGCTTAAAAGTATGGCGCCAGCTCACCCTCTTACATTACGACTCTATGTACTCTATGATTAGGTAGAGAATGATTATGTCTAGAGTCTCTTTATATCAGAGGCAAAAGACCCTCCACTGGCCTCTTGGCGATAGGTGGAAGCTTTTACTTTCGGGGATTCAACAAGTCCTTATGTACAATTATGAGGGAGCAGCAGTCATCACCCTATTTTCGGCTGTTGACCTACCTACATGGTGGATGATGAGCTTCGGATGACGTCATGAGCCAAACAAGTTTACCGAACTACCAGTGGCGTGGCGTGCTTTGCGATACATCGATTGATTTTCCATTTAAACATATGGGAAAGGATCGATAGACAATATGTTCGCAACGAACACCTTAATAATCGATCCTTCATCACAACTTCAAATGAGGAAATATCTATAATCGATTATGCACGCCACGCCACTGCAAACTTGGGCTAAGTTTACCTTCGGGAAATACGAAAGAGAAGTACCTTAATTTTTTTGAACATGAATAAATTCAAAATTAAAAGTCTATAAACTTACGAAGAATTTCATGGTGGTTTTTTGTTGCACGCTGGTCGCTGTGGTAGTAAAGAAACTAAGAAAACATTGACGCTTCTATGATGATTCAACAGTTTTATACTCCGTAGAATTATCCACAAACTCTCGGGGCTATTCTGATTAAGCAGTTTGGTGATATGTTAATGGAAAACATGACAGGATATCAATTTGTTCTAATGAGCTTAATAACATGATCAATTCGAGCTACTCTCTAAAGTTACAAGAATTAGATACAGTTCGCATTCAGCATCGTTTCTGGCGACTTTTTTTTTATTAGAAGAAACACATAGGTGGCAAATAGTAGATGTGTTTTGTTCTACCCATCTCACAGAAATCTATGATCCAGATTCTTTAAGCCATGTGGCCGATCAAAAATTCCTTGAAAATAGTTTAGCAGCCTGGTAATTTCAATGACTTATAGAAATATTAGCAGCATGGCGCGATTGTTAAATTTTTCTTTAATCTCAATGATCAGAGCAACTTTTGAAAATTAAACGATAGCTAAAAAAATGTGCCACACTATACAAAAGACTGTAGTTTTTGGTTGGGATGAATCGAAATATAACTTTGAGCACTAAAAACTTGTATCTTGAGCGCAGTAAACTCGTATCTTGAGTGCAGTAAACTCGTATAGCTTCAATGCCGTCAGTTTGCATCCGTTCTTTATTAAATCAATCTCAAATTCTGAGTCCTGTATTCATGCAGATTTGATCTCGGTGCGTAAATTTTTGAAAAACATTGCTCACTTTTGGATAGAAAAAATAAGTTAATTCTCCAGTCAGTATCCTAGCAAACGGTCCCAATTTGAACTACAACGTTTGAGTACAACTATACTTCCACGATGGTTGTCTATATTGCATTTGCGAAAATTGAAGGCGTTTTTAATCGCTGAAGACTTTAACGAGTGGATAGAAGAGTATTGCAAATTTGCAACCTTACCCCGTTTACACCGAATGGATCCTCTGATTGTAATTAATTATCACATGCCCATAACTGTATTGATATGTACTATTATTCATATTTTTCCTTACACATAGAATAGTCTAATAATTATAAAGCAATGTGAGTAGAATTAAAACCAGTATATATGAGGGTATCCGCAAAACTCCGCATGATTTTTACAATCCATTAGTGAGGTACAGTAAAATAACAGCTCGTCAGTCTGTTATATTACATATACTAGCCGGGATATCATTCAGAATACCTAATTTCATTGTTAGGTGTTATTAAAGTGAAAATAATTATCAATACTTATGTTTTATACATTTTTCACAAGTTCTTTCAACGGATGTTTTGAAAAAAAAAGAAAAGAAAAATCATTACATCGTACGGAGGTGATGATTTGTGCACGGAGAAAAAAAACACGGTTATTCGACAGTTATACTATACCACGGTGATAATGTCACACGGGATTTCACGGTAGTGGAACCGTGGATTTCGGTAATATTATTGATGAGCACAGTAGCATAACCCTGTTCATAATAGTATGTCTGTGCCCACAGTAATATGACAGTGAACACGGTCTAATCACCGTGCTCATCGTTACAATAATCAAAATCGACGGTTCTACTACCGTGGAATCCCGAATCTCGTGTGACATTACTACCGTTGTGGCGGTGGTAGAATGTCTGTGTTTTTTTCTAGGTGTGTGATTTTTTGAAATTTTGAAACAATATGATTTCCGTTTACGATCCGATACCTTGCAACAACTAACAACTGCTGTGGTACTCGTATATTTCTAAAAAAAATGTAACGAGCTATTAAAGAAATACGCTTTGATAAGGTACCTAACTCGAGCACGTCATATCGTGGGTGACTGAATCCATTTGTGTAAATGAAAACGCGGGGAGGTATGTATGGTAAGAGTAACGTTTGCAATTATTTAGATGTTGTTGTCAAGATTCTAATTCAAAAAACCAAGTTCAAAATTTCTGGTGTCAGAAGTTACAACCGCATTAAACCCAGATAGACTGAATGTCTCTTAATATAGCCCATGCCCTTAACGAAAACAATACATAATCAATGGTCTTCGGAAGTTTTAAGGTACGAAAGGATCTTCAATGATCATAAAAGCACAGTATTGCCGAATTGTTTTATGGTCCGTTTTCTTCTCTTCATCTCAATATCTGCTGATTTTAACACTAGAACTTCCGGTAAAGAAACAAGAATAGACCATATCATATGCCGGCACCCTTCTTATAATGATCATCGAAGGTCTTCTCGAGTCTCTAATAATATCATTGACAATTTCTCATTTTAAATATAAATACTTCAGGTTCCATTATGAAAACTTTACTCTGAAATATAACACTTTACTGTGTTTGAGATTAGGAATAATGATTATTGTAGGAATAAAAATACTTTATAAATGTTGATGTTTATTTTTAACCAAAAAAATCATTCTTGAAAAAAAAAGATGAGCTGTGTACAATGAGAATATCTCAAAAGAGCATTATAAAAATACTGAAATCAGCTACTTCAATGCATTTCTCAATTCCAAGAGAGATGGACAAGTAAGATCAGAGTTTTGAAACCCTAACTTCGAGGAGGGGGCAGTAGTCGGGTAGGTGGATTGGTTGGTGCAAAATTTCCAGAGTTGGCGATGTTGACCCATGGAGCAGCCTGAACAGGGGTGCCTTGGGGGAGCCTGAGAACAGTATCCAGCCCAAAAACAGTCGCTATGACGAAAAATAAAACGCACTGGAAAGAGAAACAAAAAATACATTTGAGAGGTTTTGAATAAAAAATCATTCGACATGTTCATTTCAAAAATGAAATTATTGCATCGATACAAGCAAAAATATTATGATAAATAATGGTCACCAAAAGTCTAATTTCATCTAATAAATGGATACTCATAGAGTCTCTCTACATATAATTTACAAATTGATGGCCAAAGTGCGAAACCACATATCTCCGTTAGCGACATTGCAGACTTCCTGTCATTCTTTGTTGGTTCCGTGGAAAACTAATGAGCGCGATTTTTTGAAAACTGCTCTGGCTTTTTTCAATGTTAAAATGTTGCCTTTGATGCGGATTCCAAGCTGTCAATTTGGTTTTTTCTCTTCGAAAAAATAAAATGGGGCGACAATTTTGAATCACTTCAATGGAGACACAAGGTTTCGAACTTAGCCTCGTTACTTTGGCCAGCGATGTGCAAGAAAAATGTTCCCTGAATCATAGGTGCAATTCATTATTCGTCATGATCATATATTGTTGGAAAATAATCGTCTTAATCATAGTTTCGCAGTTATTAATGAAACTATCACTACGATTTGCTGAAATTCTGTGGTTTCCAATATGAGCCTCTATAAACAAATTAGCCTCTAAACAGAATATCCATTTGTCTCACTTAATCAGCCGACATACGACCGCGAAAGCGTTTTCAACGACAATGCGAGAGCCAAGTTTATAAGAAGTATTATGGGCGTGATAAATAGAAATAAAACTTTCCAGTGTGAACTTATGTTTTCGGTTCATTCATGTTTCAGAATATTTGTGAGGATCGCACCTGGTTGAATTTGTATTGTAGCATCACCAGTATCTAGTGATGCCTTCGATGAATCCTTGGAATTTTTCAAAACGTGAGCATTGAATTCAACAAATGCACACAGACAAGAAATTTTGAAATCTCAAAGAGCTTGTATTAATTAACTTTGCTCGAGATAAACGCTCTTTTTATTTGAAACCAGGCACTCAATTTTCTTCCATTCTAATTGTCATTCGGGGCCTTTTGTAGAAGTTACGTGAAATATAGATTTCATAAATTAAGATTTGAATAGAAACATGAATGAAATATTTAACACAATTTTTGGGGGTTTTTTTGTTGTCTTTTAAAACTTACATGTTTTTAGGAATGTACATCAAACTGAGGTTGAACTGTTGATAGAAAGACTTAGTTGGATAAACACAAAATAAAAATAAAATAGGCATACACAAACGTCTCTATCTCAAAAGTCAAATATTTCTGTATTACACCGGTACAGATTTTAACTAATTTAAAATTTTTTGAGTGATTAGCTTTAGTTTTGAAAATTTTTCTAAGGTAGATTGGCCGGAAAAAACTTTTCGCATGATATAGTATCAAGAGAAACCTATCGAGGATAATAGTGTACAAAAAAACAAAACAGGAACATAAGAATAAAAATGTTAAGCAAAACAGGAACATAAGAATACATTTGTTAAGCAAAACAGGAACGTAAGAATAAAAATGTTATTTTGAACTTACGAGGAACTTCATGGTGTTTTTTTTTACTTGAAATTCGGCACTGTAGAAGCTGAGGAGTTGAATCAAATACCCTATACAAGAAAGCTGATGTTTGCACTCAAGGTGCTAGAAGATTTTGCTAGTCCCCGCGGGCAATTTGAAGAGTGAAAACGAGAACTTATGATTTTCTAATTAGCTAACAGACCTCAAGATCAAGTGAGGCAATTCCTTTCCTACAGAGCCATATTACAATCACAGCCTATATTTTAGGTTCGACTTCAGACATTTATCTCGTCAAAGCCATGATGCACGAATCTGAATACTACACCAAATCAAGCATTTAAAAAATCATTAGTAGTCCCTCGTTTGAAAAGAAGTAATTTTTTGACTTAGCTCATTAATTAAACCATGCATATAATCACGAATATTTGCATAGTCTCAATCAAGTACAGAGAAATTTAGGGACTTTTATGAAAACACAGTCAAGAAGAATGAACATGCAAGATGATACTATTATTCCAAAAATTCTATAGTTCGAAATGAGCAGACTAATATTTATTGCAGAATTGTCCTCTCCAAAAAAAAAAAAATACAAAAGGAGCGTAAGTAACAAGCAAATGAAATTTAACCAATTTCGGTTGATTTTATTTTTTAAACGATCATTTATATATATATATATATATTGATTCTATAAATAATACAACGTGTCTAAGGTCCAATAACCGAGAGAGGCAATCCGCAGTTTTAGTAAAATTATGATAAGAATTTTTGTGATAAATGCGGACAAAAAACTATCGATTCTGATCTTTCCAAAATTTTCGTTTGCGTTTTACT